GTTCAGAAACATCACAAACTGTAAATTCTCTAGTAGAGATTTAAAGCCTTTTTAATTATATGCCCTATGATCGAGAAAAAACAGCGTCAGCGATGATATGAAGATCGCTGTCAATTTATATGGAAAATGTCATCAATCGTCATTTCCCAGCCAACTGGACACCGTTTTTTTTTCGATCATACGGTATTTAATACAATATAATTATATGGTTAGGTATATTCTATTACATCTGCATCATTTAATTTAAATAAATATTTACCTTTTGATTATTTATTGTTTCATTAATCCCCAGATTACCCTTTCTTATTATTAATATTTTAATTCCAAATTATTGAGTAATCTATATATAAAACAAACACATGCTTATGAAAAATATTTTTTTTCTCTTTTACTGGTAACACACTTTTGGTTTTAAATATTTCAAGACCACTTTGTATAGTAAACCATAAATTAAGTCATTTATATATAAAACAATACTATGTTTGATAAGAATATTTTTTTGTCTTTTAATGGTAACATCTTTTTGGATTTAAATATTTCAAGACTCAAGACCAGTAAAAATGTACATATAGTAAACTAAATTTATTTTATAATTGTCTAAAGTGGTGCCCGTACTGATAAATAGTGGTAGAAATTGAGCAAATTGATGCTGCGAATTTTCATTCGGCAAAATGTGCTATCTCTAGCGATTTGACCTCGTTGGCAAACTTTAACCCTTAATAACTTTTTTTCTAAGAAAAAAATATCTACATTTTTGTCGGCCATTCGATAGAGAATTAAAAGCTCTATTACTATGCAAAATTGCAGCTCTATCGGAGATACTTTAATTTTTAGGTCAAAATTTAGCAAAGGGCACATTTTCTAGAGCCGAAAAATTAAAGTATCTCCGATAGAGCTGCAATTTTGCATAGAGATAGAGCTTTTAATTCTCTATCGAATGGCCGAAAAAATGTAGGTATTTTTTTCTTAGTTTTTGAGATATTTACATTTTTCAAAAAAAATCTAACTCTTCGAGCTCGTTGGTCAAGTATTTTAATTAATTTATTATTTTATTTATTTGTTTTTAAAAATGCATTTTTAAAAAAAAACCTTCACCATTTTGTCAAGAAGATCAGAATTATTTTTGACTGTAAATTTGGTGGCATCATTTAAAATTTTTTTAAAAAGCATTTAAAAAAAAATCCTTCACCATTTTGTCAAGAAGGTCAGAATTATTTTTGACTGTAAATTTGTTGGATTGATTGGCATCACTTTATACCATTTTAAATTAAATATTGTGTACAGGGTGTCCCATTTTCGTGTGTTTTATGGGGCCAACTGAATTTACTTTGGTTTTCGAAAGACTATATCGTTTATGTACACACACCGGAAAAATCTAGGGATATCATTTTATTAAAGTTAAAAATAAATGTTTTGAATAAACAACCACATATTTGTAGGCCGATTCTTTCTACTTCGATTGAAACGAAGTAGTCACACTAGTTATTTCTAAATTTGGGATATTTGCAGAAGTGTTTGTGCATTTTTTGTCAAATGTATAAAAAGCACCTAGCATCAATTGTTCGAATTTAACCTGTACTGGCTATGTTTTTATGATAACTGACCAGAATTCATTCAAATAACTCTGTTTAGTATTAAACGACATTATGGAGCGTAGACATCTTAAGAGAAACGAAATGCTAAGGGCCATGGGTATGCTCGAAGCTCGAATACGCCAAATCGACGTAGCTAGAGCATTAAATACAACGCAAAGTCTAATATCGCGATTAAGTGCACGCTACCGTGAAAGTGGTGATGTTGCTGAAAGGCACACAGGGCGGATTCAATCACTACCCCTCAGCAAGATCATTTTTTACAATTAAATGCTCGACGCCGACCGACTCTTACAGCACCAGAGCTTAGTTTAATTCTCCAGGAAACACATAATGTAACCGTTAGTCCTGAGACTGTTCGTAATAGATTAAGAGAGGTCAACTTAAGAAGCAGACGCCCCTGGAGAGATCAACCCTTAACGAGAGGAAATCGAGAGGTACGATATTTGTGGGCTCAAGATCATGTTCAGCGGTCGAATGAACAATGGGCCAATGTTCTCTTCACGGATGAGTCACGCTTTGGAATTCATCCGGATTCAGGAAGGCTTAAGGATGCTTCACGCTATACCGTGACGGGTCCTAGCCGTGCGTCGGTGAAGACACGGCCAAACATTGTCAAGTGTTCTTTACACATATACATTCATGCCAGGCAGAGCCCGATCCGAGCTTCGCCGGAACTCGTCCGTGCCCCGTCACAGAAATGTCGGCGTACATTTTTTCTCGGATCCGCCCCGTTCCCGCCACGTTGCGGAAAGCATGAATGTACTTTTCCTGGTGCCCCGACTGCAATCTGCAGTCATGATATAAACAAAGTACACTTTTTATCATGTCTGTATATAGTAGGTATTCCACAAGGTAAATCTCACAGCAGTATTTTAAGACAGGGTATGTGTAAAACTGGACAATGAAAGGATGTAATGAGGAAGATAGGTCCTTCATCTTTCCCTTTGAGCAGGTGTTTCCCCTGCAGGTGTTGTTCTTTATTCATCAGCTGCAATTGGTACCAATTCCAATTACGAGAACTTAGGCACTGTTCGTATTAAATCTTCGTGTGTCTATGGGGTTGTGTTTTCTAGTATACCTGGAACTAATACGAACCCCGTTATCAACTCGGTGTTGCATATACAAAAGGATCGGACGAACGTGCCCGGCTCAGACACGGTCCGGTGTACTGTGAATCATCCTTTAGGGTATGGAGAGAACCGGGAAATCTTATTTGGTTGGATCATGTTCAAGAAGTGCACCCTTATCATGGTGGAACAGTTATGGTCTGGGGAGGAGTCCAGTTAGGCCGAAAAACCGATCTCGTTTTTCTTGAAAGGTTTCTAACAGGAATCACATATCGTGATTTAATTCTTGAGCCTGTCGTGTTACCATATGCCAATGATTTTGGGAGAAACTTCATTCTCATGCATGATCAATTAAACATCTTACCCTGGCCGGCACAATCTCCTGACCTGAACCCCATCGAGCACGTATGGGACGCGGTCCAAAGAAGAATTTTGAGAATGGGTATGCCTCGTGAAACTCGTAGGGATCTGGTTCGGGCCGTGAATGCAGCGTGGCAGGCTGTACCTCAGGAAGAGATCGACAACCTGATCAGGAGCATGGAGAGACGATTGTAGGGCTGTAATGAACAGTAGAGGAGGCTATACCCTTTATTAAGTAAAAATGGTTTTATCTTTTTTTTTAATTCAGTTTAGAATAAAAAAAAATGTGTATATTTTTTTGAGTTCAATAAAAATCAAGGTAAATTTCGCATTTTTATTTCCAATACGTCCTGTAAACTATTCGTTTATTTTAATTTTATTATATCAGAAATGCAAATATTAAAATTACTGACGATGGCTGGATAAAATTGTAATATCCCTAGACTTTTCCGGTGTGTGTATTTCAGGCTTTGCAAATTCTTTTAATTATTTAAGCTTAATATTTTTTGATATACCTAGGTTGGAAAATAAAATACATTTGTACATATAATAAATTTATTCATGACAATAAGTATAATCGTAGTGGGTATATATTTAAGTTTTACAAATACAACGTGCAGTAGTTATTAATATATCAATCGAATATTCTTCGGAGATCGGAATAGGCCTATGGTTGGTTCGCTGCTCAAGTGGGCTGTGGAACTCTGGAGCAATCTGAAACAAAGAATAAAAATATGAAATTGAACCGGTTGTATTAACACTGCAAATAATCAATAAATAAAGTTTAGATAATTTTAAATTCCGTAATTTTTTACAACTAGAATTAACTAAAATATATTTTTGAAGAGATACTAGTTTTAAAAATATAAATATTTAAATTTTAACTTAAATTATGTAAAAACATTTGCGTTTGTACTAAGAATGTATGTACAAATAACAGAATTTAATCATTTTATCTAAATTTTACATAAAAAAAATCGTAGAATTAAAAAAATGAGATCAGTGTGATCAAAACGAAGTGTTCCTATCGCAAGTCCGCGTTCTGTTCTATATCTTCAATGGGGAATATACAGGAGGATCAAGTAAGTAGGAGTACCAATAACAGCTGCAGTTGTTACGGAACAGGTTTATGGTACAACCTATAAACAGAAATAATTGTATAATATTGTTTCCATCATACAAACAATATTTACTAAACATCCCAGCAGAAAAATTTTCTGAACGGCCTCCAAGAAATATGATTAAAAAAAATGTTTAGGTAGTCTGTACTTATATTCTTGTGCGATTGTGTAGCATAAGAATACTAGTACTAAGCCAGAACTAAAATAAATGTACTGATTTCTTTCGAAAATCGACAACTATGAAACTATGAACCCTTCCCGGACACAAAGGGTACATTGTGAAACAGGAAATTGTAGAGAGAAACAAGCCCTATAACATAGGATACAACATTTTAATGAACAGTGCTTTCCATAAAATCAATAAAATGAAAAATATACGAAATAAAATAAATGTACTGATTTCTTTCGAAAATCGACAACTATGAAAATATGAACCCTTTCTGGACACAAACGGTACATTGTGAGACAGGAAATTGTAAAGAGAAACAGTCACAGTGTATATTGTATGAAACGTGTGTGTAAAACTATTTTATTTTATCTGAAAGTATTACTGTAGATAATTATTGAGCATTAGGTGCCCCCTTTACTAACACCGACAAAGACGTAGAAAATACTAGTTTGCCTGCATGGTCCAAAAAATACCAAATATACATATCTAAATATGGAGCACTATACTAAGTAACTTACTTGGGTAGCCATATATGCCATGCAGGTCCCCAATGGCCAAACATCAGTCAGAGGATGATTCAGGTCCCCTCTTTTGTGGAAGGATGTAGAAAGACACCGTTCTCTTGTGTGGTATTATTAACATATGTCTAAAACAAAATGAAACATATTTAAAACACTCAAAACAAAATAAACACTTTACTATTAAAGTTTAGCAAATACTTTTTTCAATACTCTTGTCACTGTCAATACTTTTTTCAATATACTTGTAAATGAACTGACGCAAACCTGACGTATTCCTAAAATTAAAAAGAAATTAACATTGTTCTTAATGGTATTAAATTTATTTTTGTAAAGGATAGGCAACCAGTAAATCAGAATTAAAAAGAACTAAATTCAAAATTAATTCGTTTTACGTGTACTTTAATTTTTTTAGGTTTATTTAACAACTTGATTCAACAAACCAAAAACAATTACAAATAGATTTTTTTTTTCTATCTATAATATATTAATTAATATAAAAAATAAAACTTACTTTTAATTCCTTGTAATCTAGTGTTTAGAAATACAAGATTGAGCTAAACTATGTCATGCTATCCTCCATTTATCATAAATCTTTGTCTCCTGATGCATATTCATCTGCCTCGGTCAAAGATTAAGCATCACCCGGCTAATAGACATAGAAGGTGGTAACTTCCTTGGGTACCCATATATGCTATGCAGGTCCCCAATCGCCAAACATCAGAGTCAGAGAATGATCCAGGTGCCCTCTTGTGGAAGGATGCAGAAAGACACCGTTCTCTCTTGTGTGGTATTATTAACAGATCTAAAACAAAACGAGATATATTTAAAACACTCAAAACAAAATAAACAATTTACTATTAAAGTTTAGCAAATTATATCTAGCAAAATATTTTTATTGATAAAACAAAATTATTTTTAATCATTAAATTAACAAAAACCATCTATCAAAGAATAAAAACGAGATACTGCTACCACAGATATTCTCATAATTTTTTAAGTTTCTCTAACAGTATGGAAATTAGGAAAACTATAAATGGGATTAACCATTTTAGAAGAAGCAAAATGTTTGTTTTAGAAGCAAAAAAGTTTCTCCTCTCTCCGAGACAATCTCAAAACATATATTAATAAAAATAAAACTTACTTTGAATTTCTTCTACTGCAGTAGTTGAAGATATAACTTAGCCTTTATATAAACCTCCTCTGATAAATCTTCGTCTCCTGATGTGATTTTTGATGTTTTACCTTCCTGCCCCCCAGCTAATTTAACCTATGGTCAAAGATAAACCCTCAGCCTCCGCCAGCTTTTAGACATGGAGGGTAGTAACTGTCTCGGGTACCTGTACTTGCTATGCAGGTCATTGATGGCCGAACATCAAAGTTAGAGGATGATCCAGGTCTCCTCTTCTGGGAAAGGATACAGAAAGACACCATTCTCTTGTGTGATATTATTGACACACTGATTTATTCTAAAAGACGTAGAAAATGCTTTTTTACCTGAATAATCAATTACGTCAAAACAATGGGTACTTACAGTTTCCAGTAGATTAAACAGGCCTTAAGGGACAGAATAAGCTCAAATAGTGCACAGAAAAATCACTTTTTCTACCAGAAAATCAGAAAAATCGTAAAAGAAATTTCCACAACGAAAAATGTCGCCCAGTCATGATCATTTTTTGCTGCATAAATAATGCTGTGTCTAAAAGAAAATATTTATTCTACAGATATAAATATAATAATATTAACAAATTATTATTTTAAATTTAATTAATTTAATAGTTGAATAAATTGAATTCTATTCAATTCTATTTCCTGCAAAGATTGGACTAGATTTGAGGCCAAATTCAAAAAAATTATAAAGCTAGTCCTAGTGCAAGACAATTTACTTTACTTAATGCTAATATGGTCTAATGTCATTAATATTTCTTGTTTGTAGACTAAGATATAACAATTTTTTTGCCTGCATTGATTGTATATGTGTATAAGAATAAATTTATATGCTTTCCCCTTTGCCTAAAAATATTTTTGTACACCTCAATAATCTTCTTTATTTGAGAAAATCACCATTTCAGTATATAGAATAAAGGAACTTTTTAATGTATGTAAAAGTATACTTGATTTTGATTATTTTAAGGGTACTTACCGTCACAGTTGTATCCACCCTCAATTTGATAAGCTGCTGTTGCCATTCCAAGCTTGAATTCCACGCGAATTGCAAAAGATATTCCAGCAAAAAACACATACACAAATAATAACTTCATGTTTTTACATTCCATTACATCTGTTTTGTTTTATCAATAAGCTATTAGTTTATCCTGTTTCCTACTTCATAAGTGAATACCGTATTTATCTCTGGTTATAGGGTGAGATCATACAGGAGAGCATCTATAAAACAATGAACTTTCTGTAAAGTAGTTACTCATTTGTAATATACCAACTACTAAATACAACAATTTAATAATTATTAAAGTAATTTTTTTTCCGTTAAAATGCAGCTTACAATTTTTGAAACGGTAATGTCCATGATTTGTATGATTTATTTTTAATATCATGGAACCTTATAATAAACAGAAATAAATACCTATAATACACCATAATAATACACTATATGCCTTTTACCAATTACTTAACTGGTGCTATGTTTACCTTTTTTAGCTTCATAGAACATGTTTGTTGGCTTGTTTATGATTACTTTCAATTATTTCCCAGCCAACTGGACGCCGTTTTTTTTTCGATCAAACGGTATAATACACCATAATAACAGATAATAATACACTATATGCCTTTTAAAACTTAAACTGGTGCTATGTTTACCCTTTATTAGCTTCATAGAACATGTTTGTTGACTTCTTTATGATTGCTTTCAATAACTTTACCCATTATCGCTGCTGAACGTCACATATTTCTACGCAGGTTACGTATTTTCAATTCTAAATTATCAATATAGTTATTAAACGTTTCTTGTTATCTGTATTTCTCTTGTATATCTGATATTTTTGTTATATTTTTGAACTCTGATTTAAGGTTAGGAGAAGAAAAGCCGGTTGCGGTGATTGATTTTCCAACGAACTTCCTGTAACGTTCAAAAATAAGGGAAGAAATGAAGAAATACATCAATTAAAGTTACCTTATTATCGAAAAATTGGAGCAACGTGACCTTAGATATGCCGTTCGAGAGCAAAAACCATATTATTTTACTGGCAAGAAATTATCCAACTGCATTTAACTTTGATATAACGGTATCTTGACGCCTTTTTTTCGACCCCATCTGTTATTACGATTAATATCCTTGATCAAAATGTTCTATTTCGTAATGGGACAAACTGGAAACACACTGGAACTTCCTATAAATAATTGGAAAAATTATTTTAAAAAAAGTAACAAAAAACATTCCCAAGTTTATAGCTCCTAGCATTTACGGGGTGAATTGCAAGCGTCGTCTCTCCGACTAGACGAATCTTAACAATCCCCCCCGTAAACGAAGGTACCTGAGAATGCGGAATTTCGTGGTAGAAATTGACCGGCGCCTCGGCATCAAGACTACCTTGACAGACATCGTACGCCTGCAGACAATTCTCTAACAACAACTCAAGAGGGCTAAATTATGGGCTGGCCAGTTCCCATAACGTCGCATTCCTCAAGCGCCAGAAAGTTAGGATTAGAGTCTACATCGCACGCCGCGTCTGCGAATCCCAAATAAAATTCTTTTGTTTTTTATATAAATACTTATTTTATGTCGGAAGCGACCGGTGAGATATTAAGGCAATGACGTATACCAAAGGTGTATTACTGGTTGCCAGTTTCTATATAAATTTTAAATTTAGTATCTGTTTTTCTTAAAAATACTTATGAAAATATCAAAGAATTTAAAGAAAATTATTTCGCAACAATATCATATAACTTTCTGTATGAAAATTAGTTATAAAATCAAGTTTAATGGGTATTTTTATGATTATTAAAAATAACGGCCAATGGCATTATTTTGACAGTTCGATTTTAAATGGAATGTGTTCAAAGAAAAGTGAAAAATACTTTGAATTCGTTATATTTTCCTAATAAATTTGTCTCTCAAGTGTTTTAAACTCACCCAGAATAAAAATCTACACAGCGCAAGGCACTGAAAGTGGAATTAGTGATTTGAAACATGGTGATATTGACCGTTTACGAACACACTGTTATATTCAAGAATTGAGACCATATTCATAGTTTTTTTAGATACTATAATAAATAAGCCTATCAGGTATGGAATAAAGGGGTGTCTATTATTGTTTTTTATTTGTAAAGTAAATTTTGTTGTACTTCACATCTTAGGTCGATGCTTCTACACATCTAATCAAATCAATACAAAAAGGTACAAAAAAAATTAAGGAGTCTTTTATTCAACCAAACACCAAATGCCAAGAATATTATTTCATCAGCAGAAGGTATTTAAAACATTAGTTAATAGTTATTTTGACCTAAATGAAAATATTTGTTACCATATACATTACTGTTTATATTATTGATTTGTAGGGAAGAAAGTAAATTTTAGCAACAATGGGACTTAATAGCGGCCAAAAGCAGACCTGTATCGACTAAATATATGCTGGGGACCTGGGACAATTGACTTCTCTGTATATTGTACCATATAAGCAATAATAATAAGCTCTTGAACCTAGACGCTAGAGGGCGTTGTCTTACAATTTAACAAACATTGCGCGTTTTTTCAAAAAAATTAAATGCAATAGTATATGTAATTATAGCTGATAGTAAAGAGTAGTAAAAGCTTAAAAAGTCAGCGAAAACCGCATCTTGATATCTTCTTTCAAACCGAAGATATTAGCAAAATTATAATAAATACCAAAAAATAAGCCCTTAATTACCTTATTTTGACAACACGGTATCAGTAGCCCTCTTAATTATGCCCAATTTAACAAAAAAATAAGATAGAAACAGTTAGTTTATTTTAAAATCGAAATACCAAATTACTAAAAGAACTCAAAATGTTTACATATAATTACATCTAAATAGTATAGTATAGTACAGCTAAAATAAGCCCCCAATATAAACATGTTAGACCAAATAAGTTAAACAAACTTAACAATTAAAAAAAAATAATAAAACAAAATTTCAAAATTGTGCCTAGACTTTATTTTTTATGCGATAGGTACTATGTAAAAAAGGTGTACAATCCAATAACGTAAAGTAGAGATAAAAAATAAAATTCGGCTATATCAGAAGTTATACCAAAATGTCAAGTATGTCAAAAAATGTCAATTTTATATCTACCAAAATTCGTTTGGATCGGATAAAAAATATTAAATTGGTATCCGCAAAGAACTCTCGATTACATCCGTTATGTTTATAATTTGTTAAAGAATAGATTTTGCTACAATATTTCACGTTACCCTATACAGGGTGTGCATTTTAAATGGTCCCTAGCAACATACTTTCTCACTAATAAATAAATTTTTAAGATTTTTTTTACATTTTCCCCTGTAAATTGAAGAACAAATGAAAATTTGGCAATTCTGTAAACGTAACTTTATTGATGACCGGAAATGCTCAACTTTTCTCTAATTTAACCGACCAGTCACCATTTCCTAAATAGCATATTAAGTGGAATCACTTAAAATGGACACCATACATACCTTTAACTGTTTAGTATTTAAAGTTTATTTATTTTTGAAATAACTAGAAATTTTAAATTTAATTTATATAATTTTAATCTAGAAAAAAAACCTAGAAACTCAATTTTTTTAATAATAAATTCTATTTTTACAAACTAATTGTGGGACACCCTGTATATTACCAAAATGTATAGTTTTCGAAACAATTAAACATTATTTAAAATGAAAATGCTCAGATATTTGTTAGTTGCCATGAGAACGGTTATGACGAAATTAAAAAATCGGATTTTTTTAATAATTTTGTTTATAGTTCCAATTGATTAATTTTTAACTTTTTGAGATTCGTTGCCATGGCAACTAACGAAAATTTAAGGGTTGATATCTTTGGTTGATATGAATAATGTTTAATTGTCAATATTTGAAAACTATACATTTTGTTAATATTCCACGTCACACAAAGTCATTCAAATTTTTAATTTAATCAGATAAAATTATAAAAATAGGGGTTTAGTATTTTAAAAAATGAGTTTTTATTTTTTTTTAGCTTAATTTTTAAACTTCATTTTTATTACCCTGTATTAATTGGGTCATGTTGCATGTATTGACAACCCTGTAGATGGTTTATCGTTTATTATTGTTTTGCTTGTTTTTTCTGTGTTATGTTGATAATATTGTTTTAATGTATATTATTTCAATACATTTTTAATATTTGTCGTTTTATTTGTAGGACAGTTTGAGCATTAGCTCTTGAGGCCAAAAATAATAATTTTCCTCACAAAATAAAATCACTAGTAACAAATCCATTCGTTCCAGCAATATCAGGTCATTATTTTCTTCATGAATAAAGAATACTTACTTATTAAACTATTGTGGAGTAAATTTAGTAAACTGTTTAAATAATAATGTCATACACTAATGTCGATTTTGAAAATAGTTACTAACTGTCACTAGAAAATTGCCATGGCGATACCAGCCATCTTGATTGCCATTTTATTTAAAAATCGCTTTTTATTCAAAATCCGAGATAGATAGATATAGGAAACCCTAATATAATTTGAAAGAGCATTTGAATCTGCTTCGATTTATTTAAAAAATACAGGGTGTTGCATTTGAAATAACAAAATTTTTATGTAAAATAAATCCTTAAAATAGATCACTCATTTTTGGTACCCCTGTATAAATTTAAGGACGCAATAACATTAATAGTTTTATATTTTTTTAATTAATAACATTAATAGTTACTTTGTTTAATTCTGCTATACATATTGCATTTAATTTTCCTGCTACTTTAAGATTTTTACATCCGTTTCACCTAATTTATATAATTTTCTTAGCATATCTAAAATATAAAAATATATGATTTATTATCTAAATAAGATATATTAACAGTTATTTTCCACACCACAAAGCATAATAATATGTAGTATTAAGGCATAAAAAAATATTATAAAATATAATCTTAATATCAATCCAATACGTTCAAAATTCAACCTTCACCATATTGTCAAGATTTTATTTTGGCATTACAGGAAAAAAGAAATTACAGTAAATTAAGAAAATAATCATAAATATACCAATATCATATATATATATATATTAATATACCAAGTACAGGATATTAAATACTGCAATATATTCTACAACATAAACCACCATCTCACTTATAAAGAGTAAGAAAAACCATAAAGATATTTTTTTTAGATTTTTAACACCCTGAAGATCAGACAGACCCTATGTTTATATGAGCTTTTTTTTCTTAAAAATACATTAGCAGTCATACCCTGTATTTTTTTAGACTATATATTGAAAACATCCTGTTTATACATATAGTGCTCGAAGCTTTCATCGAACAAATTTTTTATCAGGAGGCAAGAAATTCTTGTTTACTCTTGTGTTGTTTTGGGGGTTGGAAATTGTTAAAAATCAACAAAAACATAATTAGTAGGGCACATAATCTTGTTAAATGTGTTTTTTATTGATTTCATGGCAAAATTAGTGAAACAAAAAGTAAATATCTTGTAAAAGTTATATATTCTTGTTTTGGGGCTTGGAAATTGATAAAAAAACTACAAATACATAATTTGTACAGCACAGAATCATGTTAAATGAGGTTTTTTATTGATTTCATAGCAAAATTGGTGAACTAAATGCAAAAAGTCTTGGCCATTACATTAGCTAAGAAAATGTCTTGTAGAAGTTATAAATAGGGGTATTACTGCCTTGTTTTATAATTTATAGATGTAATAAGTCTCTATTTAACTAAGTATTACATTATTTCGCAAAATATCGAACAACAAAGTTATATTAATTGAAAATTCTGAAGGCTACCGAACCGCCACCATATTTTTTTTGATTATTTTGGTTTTGTAATGCCAGAAACTGCTTAATTAACTATATTTAATAATAATCTATAATTCTTTAACTATTTTAAAGGTTGAAAATCTTTTTTAAAAGGTAAAAATCTATTTTATGATATTAACAATTACGGACATTGGGGTAATTAAAATGCGATATCTATGTGAATTTTGCTTTATTCGTTGGTTCAATCAGGGCTGTCATGTACCGGGTGCGTCTCAGAAGTGGCTCACTTCTTTATTTTTCTAGGTAATAAAACGAAATTCGTGACGTTAGTATATTATGACGTAAATCGAGATCGATTCACGTATTCAAATACTTTCGATCGCTCGTACAGGGTCAAGCCACTTTTGAGAAACGCCCGGTATAACATTTTCCTGCGGTTACCTTGGGCAGGTCCCCGTTCGGGCCTCTCCTCGCCATCGCTCTCCCCCTCCCGGTCCGCCTCGCGCGGCGGCACCCTGAACTCCGGCCCGCCGCCGTAAATGCCGTGGAAGAAGCGCCACACCGTCTCGGGCACGTCGGCCTTCTCCTCCTCCGACGCGCCGTTGTCAACGGGGCCCGGCGGGTCGGCCACCTTGCGCTGCACGAACGCCAGCCACCGCAGGTACCACCCCGTGGACAGGTAGTGCGTGTGCGGAGGCCGCTTCGCCTGCGCCTCCCTGCTCACCTCCAGGAACTGCTCCATCTCGCGCAGGACGCGGTGCTGGAGCGCCGTGCACGCGGGGCAGGCCGAGTCCTCGGGCGGAGCGCTGCCTCCGAACCGTTCCTGCAGGTACTCGTACATTTCCAGCGGCACCCGCACGGCCAGGCGCTCCAGCAGCGGCTCCTTGTCTGGATCTAGGGCCCCGTGGCGACACAGGAAGTCCGAGTTGTCGATGGGGCCCGGTTCGGCGCAGTGGCGGAAGCGGGCGAGCCACTGGCGCGACAGGCGGGCCTTGGGCGCGCCCTCGTCGGCCAAGCGCGAGGCCTGGCGCCTCACGCCCTCGGCGGCCGCCTGGCTCTTGCGGTAGAAGAGCACGTAGGCCTCGCAGTTCTGGACGCGCTCCGCGCTCACCCTGGTCACGTACTGGTCGTCGAACTCGTACCACTGGCCCCCGTTCAGGGCGAAGCTGGTGTAGTGGCCTCCGCCGGCCGTGCCGTGGTGGCAGATCACCGAGAACAGGTCGTACGTGGACGGTTTGGTGGTGTCCCGGTCGCACGCAGGGCTAGAATTGAAATGTAAGCGGTAGAAATACTATTTTTGATAATACGCTCGCCGGCACGAAAAACGGCTATATATTTTCTGCTGTATTTTGAAGTGAAGTATTTTGATGATCGTTTAAGCAATTTCTAGCTAAATTATTTGACATGTTCGTGTCTCAGAGTGTTTCAAACGCTCTCCAAAATCTCAACTTTTTCTTTTCCCTCGTATAATTGACAGATGGGAACTTTCATTTTTAATTTAGAAAGAGACACTAGAAAGTCACATAATCTAGCTACAAATTGCTTAAAAAATCATCAAAATCGGTCCACTAGAACAAAATATATTAAACTTTAAATAGAGGAAAATTTTAAGTAGTAGGTTTTTGGTGCCGGCGCGCACAGTGGAACGATTATATGAGAGACATTGTGATATTTTAGAAATTTTATATTTATATTTGTATTCATGACAATAACAACAGATTTTTATATTTGAAAACATAATAATTTACATATTTATTTATTTCTGTTTACAAAAGATTTTTTTTAAACTGCCAAACATAGATAATTATAAACTTCAAATCTCAATTCTCCATGTTAATGAATTTTTCATAAAGTTCACTTAAAAGAAATATAAATAAAACCTGTACTTGAATATGCTTTTCACAAATTAAAGTTTTTCTACACATTAGGGTGTGGCATAAAATAAACATGTATATCTTAAACATCTTAATTATACAGATACAGGGTGGTAAATTTTACGTACCATTTTTTTCTCGAAATATATTCTATATAAAACCTGTGCGGACGCCACTAGTTGAAAAAAATAATTTTACATTTGTACAAAAATATTAACGAATCAGGATATTATGTCCTAAAATTTCAATAAGATAAGAATAACTAGAGTGTTTTTCTAAATAGTTATGGCAGTTAAATTAGAAAAAAATAAAATTAATTTCATTGCCAATGTCTCTGACTTTGTGCTACCACTTACTTTGGCACTTTGGGCCGCGGCTGGTCGTCCTGCAAGTAGGGCCACATGTCCAGGTCGCGCAACGGGAAGCTGACGGCGGCCGCGATCTTGCTGCTGTACATCAGCTCGTGCCGGAAGCGCTTCAGGTGGACGCACAGCACCTCGGGCAGCTGCAGCACCTTGCTGTACTTGACGCCGTTGCGCAGCTTGTTGCAGCGCTCGCAACTGTACATGTTGTCGCCCTTGAGCTCGTCCGTGCTGAAGAAGGCGGCGAGGCAGTCGTGCAGCGTGACGGCGGGCCCGTACCACCAGGAGCGCAGCCACGCCAGCAGCCAGGAGAGCCAGCCGTCCTGCGCGGGGGCCGCCACGGCGTCCGTGCACGTCGCGCTGGGCACGGAGGCGCGCCCGTGCAGCAGCACCAGGTGGTCCTTGGAGGGGATGGGGAGGGACAGGTCCTGGAAGGTCTCCACCCGGCTGGAGACGCGGTCGCAGGTCAGGCACTGCACCGAGGACAGCAGTTTGCCGTCGAAGATGTCGGAGATGATGGACCGGTACTTTACCGGCTTGCGGGCGCTGGTACTTTGGGGTTGGGCGTCTGAAACAAGAATACTCTTGTAGGATTCAATATAACGCTTTAAATTTGATCAAAAATTTCTCTGTTGCGTTTTTTTTTTGGATCCAAATGCATTAACTTTACCTATAACGGGCGACGCGACGACTCGAGGTCTTTGTCTTCGGGCGGGGCTCTGGCACTCGCTCAATCTTCTCTTGCCCCCTGAAACCGCCGTCTCTGTCCCCGGTCGAGTCTCCGAGTCGTCGCTGAGTGACGACCTCTCGCTCACTCCCGAATCGCACGTCTCGTACTCGCCCTCGGAAGAGTCGTAGCTGAGCGTGGGCGGCTCCTCTATGGCCAGGCTGAAAGTGTCTCCCTCGCAGGCAGGGCCTCCGCACTCGGCGGCCACCGGTTGCTTCAGTTCTTCGTGCAGCTGATCCATAAAATTCCTCAGGAACTCCTGAGTGTCGTGCTGGTGGTAGCCGCGAAACATGGCGTACACGTTTCGAATGCCGTACAATATTCCCGAAGGATTTACGAAACTCTGACTGGTCTTCTTCAACCACATGTCTCGGAGCAGCGCTTGAAAGGTGCGGCTGAGTCCCGGCTTTTTGCCTTCCGATAACCAATGCACTATCTGGCCACAGTCGAGGAAATATTTCGTTAGAGGCTCTGTATTGCTCAAGGCTTGTAACGCTGCGTTCATGTAACAGGTGTTTCCTGTAAAATACCGCATTAATGTTAGACATAATTTTTTTTATTAACTCACCAATATTCTGAAGTCCGACTAGGCCACCGTTACTTGTTGTAGAATTATAATCAATACTCTCTCCTACATCACTTGAATCGGACGCATCCCCTTCTCCACTCATTCCTACATTCAACCCAACACTATCTTCGAAAATTGTTCCTATAACAACAACTAAATGAACAAAATTACTTTTCAGATAGATTAACTTGGTATTTCTTACCTCTATCTGGACTATTAGCTCTTAAAGGGCTATAACTACCGTGATTTGTGTCCCTATTTGAAGATGTATCTTTTTCATCTTGATTATTTTCATAAACTGTCGTATTCACCATGCCATTAGAGCCTAGAAAAACTTCTCCTTTACATTTATAACACCACACTCGGCGTGTTGACAGGTTCATGTGAATACAGTGTGTTGAATCCATCTAAATTAAAATAAAAAGTCGATAAGCAAAATAAATCTAAGTTCTACAGGTCTTCGTTACCGCATTATGAATGGTACTGTGATCATTGGACTTTTCCGCACATCCTATATGGGAACAGTTTTTTTTCAAGCACAACCACAGGTTTGGACCGTGACAATCACAATCTGAACATTTTAACTCCGACCAACACTAAAACAAGCAGGTTTTGTTAAAATGCCTTAAAAATTTACAGTTGAGCATTACTTCTCTAGCAGTTAGAATGTTGGCAATTTCATTCAAGTCGTTGACAGACTCCTCTAAATGGCTACACTGTTTCATATTGATTTTACTAAAAAATATTATCACCACATTATTTTACCTAATGCAAAACAACTTGTAAAAGTTCAATACTACATAAGAATACTAGAGGACTTTGACGCCCGTTTTACATTGAACAAATTAACCTTTGTTTTTTGTAGTTTTTATAGACTAATAAAAATTTTCCTCAAAACGACACCTTTAAAACATTGTTAAATAAAACACGTAATGTAATAAAATCTTTGCAAACATTAACATCAAACATACCTAAAATACAATTAGTTATTTCACCTGATTACGTTCTACATTGATTGGAATTGATAAATACAAATAAATTTTATCGTCTTATTATTAAAGATAGTCTCTTTTATCTAAATTATTGTAAATTATTTAAAAATCATATTGACGTTTTACATTTTTTTTGCAATCATGTTAACAAAACATATGATAACTGTCAAAGTGTGACAGGTGACAGGAAAAAAGTAGTTAATATATTTGGTACATTTTAACTATTTTATCAAATTTAGGCACCGATTGATTATGAAATTATATATGATATGGAAATGTATTTTTAAAAAGAAGTAGATTTATTAAATTAACCTATTTAATTGCTTACTTCACGTCAGTTTGTGTCAAAAATTTATAAAGGGTATTTGATAAAGGGAAAGTGACAAAAAACAGTATGAATTTAATATTCCTTTTTCTATTCATATTATCTGTAGTTTCTGGAGAGACGAGTTTGGAAGAAGATGTAGGGTCAAGCCGTTATGTAATTGAAGGCAGAGTGTTTCCATTATCAGATTATCAAAGTACAAATGGCAATTGGCAAAGTGTAACCCGAATCCATGTAAATGGTGGTGAGTTTATAGGTATAATCGTCAATGTAACATCTGTGTAGTATCTTTATACTATAATATTTTTTTGTAGGATTTGTTAAAAGCGATGGCAGCTTTGCTGTTCACAATCTTCCTTCTGGATCTTATGTCGTAGAAGTTCTTCATCCAGAGTACACGTTTGAGCCAGTAAGAGTGGAAATCAATTCTAAAGGAAAGTTCAGAGCCAGAAAAGTAAATCACATACAAATTTCACAGGTTGTACAAGTGCCATATCCGTTAAAAATCAAAGCACTAGGCAAAACTAGGTATAGTCTTTTAGAAAAAATGCTTTGCTTGATGGTATTTACAGTTATATTTTCCAGATACTTTCAAGTTAGAGAACAATGGCGTATAACAGACTTCCTATTCAATCCTATGATCATGATGATGGTGTGCCCCTTACTTTTGATTATGGTCTTACCAAAATTGATGAACGATCCCGAAACCAAGAAGGACTTTGAACAAATTCAAAAAATGACCAAGTTTGAGATGCCAGAAATGTCGGATGTAGTCACAAACTTTTTCTCGAGCAATGGAAACCAAGCCGGCATCAAAGATAGTAATGGCAAAGACAAAGAGACCAGTAAGAAGGGACAGAAGCCTCGAAAAAGAGCTCCAGTCAAAGAATAAATATTTTTTTACGTGTGTGTTTTTGCTCTGTAGAATTCCTGTTTGAACCGTAGCTTTAGACTCAATAAATTATGTTTTACTTTTATGTGTTATCTATTTGATTCTTAATAGGTATGCTCTTAGTATATTTTTATATTTAATTTTTTTTAAATAAAAATAAATGTGTTATTATAGGCAACCAGTTAAACAAGCTATTTTCTTTACGTCAATGGCGCCATCTGTGACGTTGTTAAATAAGTTACATTTCCGTTTCCTGCCGTAACAACTCATTCAAAATTAGGCGCCACGAGCGTCGCTTTTCAGTTCTTTGGCGGATGTTTCTGAGGAAGGTGTTATTTTCCACTGTTTCGATGTATTTCTAACCTTTTCCGAATCAGATAAAATTTCGCGATGTTTTTCAAATGATAACGGTGTAGCGGTTCGATAAAGCAATAATTGATATGTGTGAAGTGGCGCGAAAATTATTATTTTAAACGTCCGGCATCGACGAAGGCGAGTTTTCTTCAGGTGAATACCAAACAACAACAATTAAAATTGTCCAGGTAAGCGGTGACCGTTGACGTGTTGGGCGTCAACCATGTACCATCATGGTAGCCGTTTGTTTTGATCCATTTTTATTCAGTAATTTGGGTTTATTTTCTAAATTAAAGCTAACACTAAATGTAGACCCTGTTTCTATACATTTGAAGAAATATAATTATTTTATTTCTATGGATTTTTTCTGTCAATATCTAATTTTATTTAAAGGGACTACCCATAGGGACTACCTGAAGAATACCTGGGTATTTTAGGGCACCTTAGGATAGTCAATAAGTTGCTGCTAAACCCTTTAAATTTACTTATAAAATTATTTATAAATTTGCTAGTAGGGATTTGCCAATGCTATTTTACCTTATCGTCAAATACCTAAATGATGTGGGAGGTAAATACAGCGACCTGTTCATTCCATGATTCATAGTTTAATAATTAATGCTTATTTAACATTGTCTCACCGCATCAGGTGCTTTAAATGATTGTTTATTTGAACACTTGTTTTTATTACCTCTTATCTCTTACGTTTTTTTATACCTTTACCCGAGCCTTTACCCCTTTACTGAGGGCAATACAGTAACTTCTAAACAAGGTATTAATTTGAGGAGTTTTATTGTTTAACTAGAAGCAAATAGAATTATTAAAAAAGGTTTTTGACACTGAATAATAGAGTTGAAGCCTGCTTAAATCACACATATGTTTTAAAAACAACACGAAGTTCTATGTGTTGACACAGGATATTTGAAACGATATACATCTGCATATCTGTGGGAAACAAGGAAACAGCAAGGCAAATAAAAAATCCCATAATCAAAATCAAAATTTATGGCGACTGTTTGTTAACATATCCATTTTTTAAATATATGCATTCTTGTATGATGTTTAGTCATTATGTCACAGTGTTATGTCACAGTTATGTCACATGTGTTATCTGTGATTATGTACGAATTAAAAAATCTTCTGTTCATTAAATGCGATGCATAGCTACGAGGTCCCTATTTTTTATTTCCAAGACTGATTAAATTTTCTAACGATATTTTATGTTTCCTGTAATTCTCCTTTTGCTATCGATATAATATCTATCTGTCAGTAATTTCTTAAATTTCTTTTATCAGACATCAGACGAACTATTTTTAATTGTTTTTAAGGCAAGACAATAATTATTGGAATTTCATTTTCTGTATTTTAAATGATAATTGACTAATATTTTGATATTGTTAAACATGTGAGATTTTATTCAACAAAAATACGAAATATTGTACTTTAAATCGAAAAACTAATTGTTATAAATTACCAAAAGTCACGACATTTATTGTATTCAAAGTAATAATCGGGAAAATAATTACACCAATGTAGAATTATTGTTCCTCTAATTAAAATCAGAAATTTTAAGCTACAAAGATAGACCGATGGGTACAGCCTTTGGCCTTATGACCCTTTGGTTAAAATTTCCAAGTTATCGATTCAAAAATAACAGTTAGTTTATGTCTTATACGGAATTAGACCTTAATTTGAATATAATAGACCTGAAAATAGCGATATTTTCTATTCTTTGAGTGTTGAAAATTTTTGGCCTTTTTTTAGGCTTATTTTTCTCTAGTAGTTTCTCTAATCGGGCTCTCAAAAGGCACGTGCCTTGATTTGGGCTCCAGCCCCCTCTAGGAAATAGGAAACCGCTGTTAATGTCACCCTCGTTTCCTTGTTTACGTGGATAATATAAATTTGAGGGTGCACGTGGCCACGTGGTGTCTGATTTATTTTGAGATTATTACCCCTGTCCCCCCCTCTGGATTTCCAAGAATTAAAAAACAAGACAAGAAAAAATATTGAACTTTTATGAAAGAATTGTTCTCTCACAAATATGTTAAATATGCCAAACATTGTTTTGGAGAAAATTAAGTTAATTGAAGGTATAGTTTATACAGAAACATATTTTCTCTTTGTCGTTTTTTATATAAGTCCAAAATAGCCGTGTGTTTTAAGTTGAAACATTGTCAACATTTTTTTTCGAAAAAAAAAACTCATAGACGTGTTTCTGAGGTCGAAATGTGCGATCCCTGAAAATATTTGCACTGATTTGCACTTATCTAAGACTCACCCTGTAGATGTTCTGATAGTGGTCTGATTTTATTCGGCGGGATTTCTTAGAAAACTTGAGATCCGGCTTTGTGGTTAGAAGTTTCGCTTGTATGGGTTTGAAATAAATACTTACATCTAGAAAATGTTGGCAGAGTGCATATGATTCAGAAAGGTATCATATACATTCCTTTTGGTAATTGTATCTAGAAGCCACAAGGGAAGGTCCACCCTTGAATGTCTTAGGCTTTGAAAACATAAGTATTTTTCCAGTTCAGAATATTTCATAATGAAAGAAATAATAAAATAAATATCTGTTAAAATAATAGACAGTAACAGTTATCTCTTTCTACAGAATATGCTGCCGAAGTGTCCGGAATATGTAGTCGGGACCACCCTGTATAAAACTTTAAAATACATCAAAATTTTAACATAAAAAAAAATAAATAAAAATGCGTATTTTTCACCAGACAATAACCTTTCTCCGTTATAATTTCGTTTCTTTTGGCTAAATATAACCAGACTGGTCCCGAAAATCCGCACGAATGGCTCGTAGGCGTGCATTGTGGCTTATTTTTAAACCAAGAATTTTAAAACAGTCGGCCAGTCGGTCCTCTTTATCCCAGACTACTTTCCCGAGGGAACAAATCGAATAAATCCCGATTTGATCATCGCCGCCCCTCAGACTACGCTTAATTAGCGGAGGGGACCGGGACTGGGGCTCCGCATGGTCGCCCTCTGTGCATAAATCTTAGATGTAAGGGTGTCAAGTTAGCGAAAAGGGCGCCACACCAAACCAGTTAAACCGTTCGACGCCCTAGAGTAATATTATAGACGCGGATTTATTTTGAAACTCATTAAAATTTACATACGAAAAAGTATAGAATCGTTATACAGGGTGGTCCGAACTGTATTCCGGAATCATCGCAGCATATTCTCCAAATCAAAATAAGTCAAAAAGTTCATCTATAAATGTAGGGTGTTGATTTATTGATTTATTGATTTATCGATTTATTGATCTATTGATTTACTGATTTATCGGTATCTGAATATATTGATCTATTGATTTTTGATCTATTGATCTCTTGATTTATCGATTTATTAATCTATTGATCTATTAATTTATCGATTTATTAATCTATTGATCTATTAATTTATCGATTTATCGGTATATGGATATGCTGATTTATTGATTTATTGATGTATTGATCTATTGATTTACAGATTTATCGGTATTTGGATATATTGTTTTATTGATTTTTGATCTATCGATCTCTTGGTTTATTGATTTATTGATCTATTGATTTACTGATTTATCGGTATTTGGATATATTGATTTATTGATCTATTGTTTATTGATCTATTGATTTTTGATCCATTGATCTCTTGGTTTATCGATTTATTGATCTATTGATTTATCGATTTATTGATCTATTGATTTATCGACTTATTGATCTATTGATTTACAGATTTATTGGTATTTGGATATATTGATTTATTGATTTTTGATCTATCGATCTCTTGGTTTATTGATTTATTGGTCTATTGATTTACTGATTTATCGGTATTTGGATATATTGATTTATTGATCTATTGATTTATCGATTTATTGGTATATGGATATATTGATTTATCGATCTATTAATTTTCTCATTTATCGGTATATGGATATATTGATTTTTGATCTATTGATTTCTTGATTTATTGATTTAACCATTTATTGATCTATTGATTTATCGGTATATGGATATATTGATCTATTGATTTACTGATTTATCGGTATATGGATATATGGATTTATTGATCTATTGATTTACTGATTTATCGGTATATGGATATATTGATTTATTGATCTATTGATTTTTGATCTATTGATTTATTGATTTATCGATTTATCGGTATATGGATATATTGATTTATTGATCTATTGATCTATCGATTTATTGGTATATGGATATATTGATTTATCGATCTATTAATTAACTCATTTATCGGTATATGGATATATTGATTTATTGATCTATTGATCTATTTATTTATCGATTTATTGGTATATGGATATATTGATTTATCCATCTATTAATTAACTCATTTATCGGTATATGGATATATTGATTTTTGATCTATTGATCTCTTGATTTATTGGTTTATCGATTTATTGATCTATGGATTTATCGGTATATGGATATATTGATCTATTGATTTACTGATTTATCGGTATATGGATATATGGATTTATTGATCTATTGATTTACTGATTTATCGGTATATGGATATATTGATTTATTGATCTATTGATTTTTGATCTATTGATTTATGGATTTATTGATTTATCGATTTATCGGTATATGGATATATTGATTTATTGATCTATTGATCTATTGATTTATCGATTTATTGGTATATGGATATATTGATTTAACGATCTATTAATTAACTCATTTATCGGTATTTGGATATATTGATTTATTGATCTATTGATTTATCGATTTATTGGTATATGGATATATTGATTTATCGATCTATTAATTTACTCATTTATCGGTATATGGAAATATTGATTTTTGATCTATTGATTTATGGATTTATTGATTTATCGATTTATCGGTATATGGATATATTGATTTATTGATCTATTGATCTATTGATTTATCGATTTATTGGTATATGGATATATTGATTTAACGATCTATTAATTAACTCATTTATCGGTATTTGGATATATTGATTTATTGATCTATTGATTTATCGATTTATTGGTATATGGATATATTGATTTAACGATCTATTAATTAACTCATTTATCGGTATTTGGATATATTGATTTATTGATCTATTGATTTATCGATTTATTGGTATATGGATATATTGATTTAACGATCTATTAATTAACTCATTTATCGGTATTTGGATATATTGATTAATTGATCTATTG